TCGGTAAAAGCGCATGGCTGCAATCCGCGCCGTGTGCGGCTGGAAACGCTCGCGCTGGGCAAAGATGCATGGCTAGAGCCCACTCGGTGCGCGGCTGGAGCGCTTGCGCTCGGTAAAGATGATTGGCCGGAGCCCGCGCCGTGGGCGACCGGAACGCTCCCGCTCGTTACACAGCGCGCGGCTGGCACCCGCGCAGTGTGCGGCTGGAGACGCTGGCGCTGGGTAACAACGCATGGCTGGAACCCGCGCCGTGCGCGGCTGAAGCTCTCGCTGAGCTGGAACCCACGCCGTGCGAGTCTGGAGCGCTCGCGCTGGGTAGAAATGCCAGGCTGGAGCGGACACCGCGGGCGGCTGGAGCACTTTCCCTCGTTGGGAAGGAAAGTTGGCACCACCCCTTCTTGTCGGCATCGGCGGCTGGACATTTGCTTGCCCTCGTAGAGTCTGACCGCTGGAACCTCACCCGGCTTAGAGCCTTCACCATGGAAAAAAGTCGGGAGGTGGGAGGAGCCAGGGGCGGAGGACCATGGGAAAATGTGTCCAAGACTCGCTCCCACAATGGGTCAGTCCGTGCGCTCGTCTGTCCGTCGATCGGTCCGTCGGTCGTCGTCGTCGTCGGTCGTCGTCGTCTCGGTCCGTCGGTCGGTCGGTCCGTCGGTCGTCATCGGTCGTCGTCTCGGTCGGTCGGTCGGTCGGTCGATCGATCGTCGTCGGTCGTCGTCGTTTCGGTCGGTCGGTCGGTCGGTCGTTCAGTCGGGTCGTCGGTCGTCGGTCGGTCGTCGTCGTTTCGGTCGTCGCTCGTCGGCCCACAGCCGGAAGCCGCCCACGCCATGGCGCGCGCTGAAAGCGCGCCGTTGGAGCCAAAAGGGCTACGGATGCAGTGCGGTTGAAGTCTAGATGTTGGACCTCAACTCTGCCCCGTCGGGTATGTTCGTTTGAACTTGAGACCAGCAATCGTCTGCTGATTGGCCAGTCAATGGACTACGCTGCTAGTGAGAATTTGCCGTGGGCGACCATCTCATTCGACAAAAAACGCATGGCTGCAACCTGCGCCGGGTGCGGTTGGAAACGCTGGCGCTGGATAAACATGCATGGCTGGAACCCACGCCGTGCGCGGCTGGAACGCTCGCGTTGGGAAAACATGCGTGGCTGGAACCCACGCCGTGGGCGGCTGAAACGCTCGCCGAGCTGGAACCGTGTGAAATGTAAGGGTTGGAGCCCACTTTGACCGTCTTGAAGCTGTCCGCTCCACTGCTCGCGCAAACATCCCACCCACCCACGCGCAACTTGGTTTGCAAAATCTCTTAAGACCGTGACGGTGGGTACCAAATGGCACTTGGCAACGACAGCGACGCCGACGACGACAGCGGCAACGACGACGACGACGCCGCCGACAACGACTACGACGACACCGACGACGTCTCCAACGACTTCGACGACACCGACAACGACGACGACGACGACGACGACGACGACACCGACGACGACTACGATGCCGACGCCGACAACGACGACGACGATGACAACGACGACGATGACGACGCCGATGACGACGACAACGACGACACCGACGACGACGACGACGACGACGTCAACGACGCCGACGACGACGACGACGACGGCGGCGACGACGACGACGCCGACGTCGTCGACGACGAAGACGACGACGACGCCGACGCCGACGACGACGAAGACGACGACGACGTCGCCAACGAAGACGACGACGAGGGAGGAGGGAGGACGACGACGGCGACAACGACGACAACGACGACAACGACGACAACGACGACAACGACGAGGGAGGAGGGAGGACGGCGACGACGCGAACGACGAAGGAGGAAGGACGGCAACGCCGACGACGACAACGACGAGGGAGGAAGGAAGACGACGACGACGAAGACGACGACGACGACGACAACGAAGACGACGACGACGGCGACGAAATAGGAGGGACGACGACGAGACGCCGACGACGGACGACGACGACGACGACGAGGGAAGAGGAGGAAGAACGACCACGGCGACAACGACGACGGAAACGACCACGACGCCAAAGAGGACGACGACGACGACGAACACGAGGAAAGACAGAGGACGACGTAGACGACGACGACGACGCGGGAGGAGGGAGGACGGCGACGACGACGACGACGACGAAATAGGAGGGACGACGACGAGACGCCGACGACGGACGACGACGACGACGACGAGGGAAGAGGAGGAAGGACGACCACGGCGACAACGACGACGGAAACGACCACGACGCCAAAGAGGACGACGACGACGACGAACACGAGGAAAGACAGAGGACGACGTAGACGACGACGACGACGACGCGGGAGGAGGGAGGACGGCGACGACGACGACGACGTTAGTGACGACGCAAGAGCGCGCGCACGCTTTTGTTGAAAATCCGTGTTGCGAAACCTTGTGTTTTGTATGTTGTTTTGACACACGATGTTGAAATCCTTCCGAAGCCGATGGGTTTTTAAGGATTTCGGCATACGCGCGCGACGACGCGCGCGTCTGCACTTCGTCCCATTTCTTGCAGAGGATTCTCGCGACGGCACACGCGCAAGGGCGTTCGACTGACTTCGACATGCGCGCGCCAAGCCCGTTTGGTAGCATGTTGTGCACACATTGAAAAAAATGGTTTTCTTAATATTTCGCAAGAGCTCGCGCGTAAGCTTTTTTAGCAAATCAGTGTTGCGAAACCCGGTGCTGTTGCCTTTGTTTTGGAAACTCGATTGCAAAATCCTTCCGACACCGAAGTTTTTTGGAGGATTGCGGCATGCGCGTGCGACGACGCGCGCGTGTGCACTTTGTCCAGTTTTTTGCAAGGGATTCGCGAAAAAGTCTTATGTTAGAAGAAAAAATGTCCCCGCGCATTGTTTTCTACAAGGGAACATCAGGGGGAGCGATACCGGCCCCCCGGGGATAGAACCAATTCATACATCGGATGGACATGTGGTCAGAATCATATAAGATTTACATACCCGAAAGGGGGAGGGGTAACGAACGGGTGGGGGGGGTAGAGTCTATTCATTCTTTACGAAGGAGAATCGACACCGTGGGCGGCTGGAACACTTTCCCTCGCGAGAAATAACTGATGGCTGGAACAACCCCTTCTTGTCGGCATAGGTGGCTGGAGAACTGTCCATCGTAAAATCTGAAGGCTGGAATCTCGCCCAGGTTAGAGCTTTAACCATGTAAATTAGTCTGGGGGGAAGGGGGAGACGGGGGCCCTAGCATTGTATCTACACCTCGCTCCCACAATGGGTCAGTCCACGCGCTGGTTTGTCGGTCAGTCGGTCCGTCGCTCGTCGTCGTCGGTCGTCGTCTCGGTCCGTCGGTCGGTCGGTCCATCGGCCGTCATCGGTCGTCGTCTCGGTCGGTCGGTCGGTCGGTCGGTTGATCGGTCGCCGTCGGTCGTCGCAATTTCGGTCGGTCGGTCGGTCCGTCGTTCGGTCCGGTCGGTCGGTCGTCGGTCGGTCCTCGTCGTCGGTCATCGTCTCGGTCGTCGGTCGTCCAGTCCACAGCCGGAATCCGCCACAGCCGGAATGATCCCAGCTCAGAACGCGCACCACTAGAGCCAAAGCGGCGACGGATGCAATGAGGCTGAAAACAAGACGTAGGACCCAGCATCTGCCCCATATGATATGTTCACTGCAATTTCAAGACCATCAGTAGTCGACTGACTGCACCTCGCTAGTACGCTTCCTTCTGAGCATGCTGGCGGCAATTGTAGCCCTGCTGCACATTGTGGCGCTCTCGCCAGACCGTCTTGCCTCAGGAGCTCCGGCTCCAGCGATTGCATAATTTTCCCGTGCGTCGGAGATGCCGCAGTAGATTAACGCGGTCACCAGGGGACGTGCCACATGCACCGCAGTACGCGCCCCTGGCAACCAACTGCGCTAGGTCGATAGGCTGATGCTGCACCTGGTGTTTGCGCCACGCTAGCACCGAAGTCGCTGTCCAGCCGCAGGTCTAAACAGGTACCTGTCTTCGCGGTACTTGGCCTCCTTTGCTTGGGACATATCCGCCAACTTCTTAGCCAACAAATCCGTTTGAAATCGCTCGAGCTCTGCTTCCAAGCTTTGTTGACCTCTTTCATCACGTCACCGAACGGAGCTGCATATAAACAAGCCACGTCGCGAAGTCCAAGCAATGTTGCGATCCACATGACCAAACTGGGTTCGCCATTATGGTCAGCCCTTAGCAGCCCCGCCCCTGACCCAATTTGGCCATCACCAAAGTTTCGAAGGAACCACACCACGGAAGGCGCACGTATGAAGACACCCCCGAAGTAATTGAGCTTGTTCACCCAGCACCTACGTCCGAGTCGGAGTGAAGGAGACGACCTTGCAACGCCCAAAAGGAGATGCGAGGGCTCTCCAACTTTTGCAACGTGGTCGCGGGGATGGACTCCTCGACTTCTGGCCCCCGATTTCGAGCACATGCATCGTATGGGTCTAACTGCCCTCCTCTGCTTCTGGATCGCTTCTGCCACCTTGTGACCCAAACTGCCAACGCTGTCCAAAACTGTGCCAAAATAGAGGTGGTCTGGGAACACGTGCACCCGCACTCTTTGGATGTTCGACTCCAACGCCGAGGAAGGGCCGAACTCCCTCGCTCATTATTATCCTCCTCCTCCTCCTCCTCCTCCTCCTCCTCCTCCTCCTCCCCTCCTCCGTCCTCTTGGGCGAACGTTGAGGTGGAGGTGCTGGAAGCCCCAGGAACCCTCGGGAGGCCATTCAGAGCCCTAACCGCGCAAACACCTAGACCCTCGAACGTCGATCCACCGCCCCCCCCCCGCCTCCTCGCCCGCCGGCCAGATCCGAAGGGAAGGCGACGACAGAGCAGAGATGAGGACGGCAGCAACGAGGATGGAGGCCCCTCCTCCTCCCACTGCGCCTCTGGAGAACAGAGACGAGGGAGCCAGAGGGAAGAGGAGGAGGCCAACTCTCGGCCGCCACCCTGGCTTGGGCCGCCGCCCCCCCCGCCTCGTCGATGAGCGAGGTGGAGTCGGCCAGGGCCGACGTCAGACCTGGCCGCGCGGGGGCCCCGTGGAGGCGCGAGGGGTTCCATCCCTGGCAAGGGGTCGGATCCCCAGCGGAAGGGCCGAATCCCCGGAAACCGCCAGGGACTCAACTCGTCGCCGCTGTGTCAGAGCCACCTCCATACTTCTGATGGAATAAGAAGAGCACTAACATGTCCCACCGAAAGGGGGACAAGAGGATGAGGACAACCACATCCGGGGATTCAACCGAATGGTAGCACGTATCGTCAGTATGGTGAGCGCGCCGCCAAACTCTCGTCGCGACCAATCTCAAATCAACGCATGTGGCTGTGATAGGAAGACGATATGGACTTGCGTGTGACAACGCGGGAAACTCCTACAAGAACGCATATGACCATTTTCTGGAAAGGGCATGACAACACAGATGGGAAACATACTACTTGCGTGAGAAAACATGAGCAAGTGCATGGTGGACCCGATGGGCGATCATACTGAAGCACGCTGGGCTACACGCAAACCGCTGGCTTTGAGATGAAGACGTGGCTTCTGCGCAAAGGATGCCACCGTATGAATCCAGATAGAGCCATGCCACTTCATATGAAAACATGAGGCTTTCACCTACACGCGTACGACCCATATGGTTCATGCGGCCCGCAAAAGTATACATGTAACTATGTACATAAACGTTCACGCGGTATTCACGCAGCAGCACGCGCCGTCCATGTGAGCACACATGGGCGTGCTCACTCAACGATGACACCTTCAAAAGCATTATGTAAACGCACACACAGGACCACAACATGACGTACTGCATGGGTGCACATGTTTCCAGCTGTGTGCGCGTTCGTGAACTTGCTCTCATAGACACCACATGCGGTCAACTATGAAACCATGTGGTTTCCCTTGGCGCTCGCACTCCTGGCCAGAGCCAGGGGGTCGCGGGAGGGGACGCGGTCCAGGGAGGTGGTGGTTATATCATATGTGCGCCTGTGTTCCCCGACCGGTCTCTGGTACAATATTGGTATATTGCGCAATGCGGGCGCACTCTGCTGTGACTGCGTGCAAACACTACATGGGGCACTGCATGTGGCATTGCCTGTGTTACCCTCTGGGCTGCTGTACACAGAATCGACTCCACGGGCAATGTCCGTAAACAGAACTGCTGCCGGTGTCAAGAAGCATCTCCTGGGAACGCCCAGTGCCAGCGATGTGAGAATATGATGTGCTGCGGGTTCTCTGGGAGGGTGCTCCCGCCTCCACTGCCAAACCACTGAACAACAAATGCCGTTTCCACGGCGAGGCGGCCCACCTGGAAAAACATGCGGAACCATCTCCGACCACCCGTCAGCACCTGACATTCGAGCCGCGTCCAGTCTTGGCCATTTGGGCCGCCCAGGGAGCTCTGAAGAGCGAAAGGCGAGAGTGCCAAAGCCGTACAATCACCATCAAGAAATCCATGATCTCTGGCATCTTGGCGGCCACTTCGGACTTCTCTTCGGGCCCCCTTCGGCCGTCGAGGGCGGCCTCGTACAGCCAGGGTCTGCGTCGACGGCATCCTGTCTGCTTGCCCGTGAGGCCACATGGCATTCCAGGGTGTTGTGCTCGGCCCGCCTTCTGGCATGTGCACCACGCGGACGCCGGCGGCTCTATCGCCGACGCTGGCTTCGAAGGGGGCGTGTTCGCTGACGACCTGAACTGCTGGAGGACATAAAACGGTTAGGAGGCAACTACTGGGAGGTTTCCGTCGGAAAGTTTAAGGAATATTAAGCCCCATTTGGGAGCTATTACGCCAGAGTGGGCCTCGGATTAAGCGGGATTAAGCCAGATCAAGCGGGATTAAGCTGGATTCAACGGGATTAAGCCGGATTCAGCTGGATTATGCCGGACTTCAGACCAGTGCAAAATCAGAATTTGACCTCCCAGGAGTTGCATCCCAACAATGGGTATCTCAGAAATTCAAGAATGCTTCGAGCATGCAATGCTAACGTTCCCTGCACTCTTGGGGTGCAGCCAAACAGGTGCTGTTTGAACCAGAAAAGGGAAGTCTACGCATCTTGGGCAAGCTATCTCCTCACAGTGGCAATTCCAGAATATTGGGCGGTGCTTTCGATGCGAAGTTTTCGATGTTCTATGCCGTCAACAAACGTGCCATTGAGGCTTCTTGGGGCCTGAAGGCTTTGCTCCGCAGTGGTCGCTTTACTCACAACGTGTAATGGTTCGTCTGTACAAGTGACACATTTTGTCGTACCTCGAAGGCGCCACCTCAGCTGCATGTCATGCCACATCTTCGGTAATGAAATTGCTTGACGACGTGCAGAACGAGTTCTTGCTGCACGTGTCTTTGACGGAGGAGGTTGCTCTATGCGACCACAACGTGGCACCGTTAGCGATGAATCGAGATTTTGCCATCTTGGGCTGACTGTTCGAAGTCTCGATTGGCAAGGCCCCTCCTTCACTTTCCTCCTTGTTCCCTCCTGCTTCTGGCCTCCTTGACTCGCACGGGTTTGGTCACCAAAAGGCGTCTGCAGAGCCCGGCCCTCAAAGACCACATCGAGCCTGGCCACCCTGGGCCAAAGCGGCCGTAACATCTGACGCTCGATTGTGGCAACTTCTGTGTGCCGCGCCCTGCCGCGTCCGTTGATTGTACTGAGGGCGTGTTCGCAGAAGAGGCAGGTCTTGCGGCCATCTCGGGCCGTCTTCGGCCCGTCCTGGCCATGCTGAGGGCCTCTCCGCGGTCCTCCCGGAGGGCCCCAGAATCTGGCGGCCCGTAGTGATGCAAGTCGTGGCATGCCACTGTTTGCGCATGGAAGCTGACTGTACTCATGTACAGATGTATCGCGCACCGTGCCCCCGACTCGACGCCCCACAGCGTCGCTCCCAGCGGCGACTGTACGACGGTACAGCTGTGTCCAACAGCGTGCCCCCCACTCGACGCCCCACGATGTCGCTCCAAGCGGCGCGCCGGGCCGCGCCCGATCGCGGCGTGGGGAGGCCCCGGGAGGGCCCCCCAGGAGCGCCCGCAGCGCAGCCCCCGCCGCGAGCAGAGCGTCCCTCCGCACCGGCGCGGGCTCGCCTTCTCGCCCTGCTCGTGCCTCCATCCGAAGCCTCCTGCGTGGGGTCCGAGCAGATGGGGTCAAAAGACCGCGCCGCATCGGCGATGCATCGGCGACGCATCGCCGACGTCGGCGACGCATCGGCGACGTCGGCGTGGAGAAGATCGGGCTCCGCATCGAGCCGCATCGCCGATGCATCGGCGATGCTGCGCGATCCTCCGTCCCCATCTACTCCGACCCCATCTGGGAGGCCTAGACTCTCGGCCTGCTCCTCCCCCCGCCCACCCTTCCAAGGCTTGACCGTCGGGTCCACACCCCGACAGCCCCAACGCGGGAGGCCAGGCAGCTCCCGACGGGGCCGCGCCCATGCGCTCGCGGTTCCCGCTGCGCCCGCCGCCCAGCTGAGGATTGCCTCTGGCCGCGCGCGCGCGCCGTGGAGGGGGCTCGCGGGCGAGGCCCGTCGCGCGCGCCGTACCGGCCGGGCGGGGGCCGCTCGAGCGCCGCCGCGCCGTGCTCTGCCGGGGCTCGGCGGCGGTGGCGCGAGCTGCCCACGCCGCGCATTTGCCTTGTGCGCATGAGCCACGACGACGACCATGACGACCACCACCGCCACCAAGACGACGATGACGACGACAGCGACGACGTCCACAACCACGACGACCGCGACGATGAACACCACCACGACCACCACCACCACCACCATCACCACGACGACGACGACGACGACAGCGACGACGACGACGACGACGACGACGACGACCACGACGGCCACAACGACGACAACGACAACGAAAACGACGACGACGACGACCACGACGACCACCACCACCACCATCACCACGGCAACCACGACGATGACAGCGACGACGACCACTACGACCACGACGACGACCACGACGACCATCACCAACACCACCATCGACGACCACCACCACCACCATCTCCACAATGACGACCACGACCACGACAGCGACGACCACCACGACGATCACGACGACGACGACGACGACGACGACCACGATGACGACCACGACGACGACCACGACGACCACCACCGCCACCACCATCACCACGACGACGACGACGACCACGACGACAACCACCACCACTATCACGACGACGACGACGACGACGACGACAGCGACGACGACGACGACGACAACGACGACGACGACAACGACGACGACGACGACCACGAAGTCCACGACCAACACCACCACCACCATCACCACGACGACCAGAGCGACGACGACAACGACGACGACGACGACGACGACGGCGGCGACGACGACGACGACGAGCACGACGACGACCACCACCACGACCACGACGATCACGACGACGACGACGACGACCACGACGACCACGCCGACCACGACGACGACGACGATTACCACGACGACCACCCACGACGACCACGACCACGACCACGACGACGGCGACGACGACGATCCTGCACTGCAGACACGTATGTTTTGTTGTTGCCACCTGCCTGCGAACAACGTAAAAGCATATAAGCGTCCTCGATGTCGGTCGGAAGCTGGAGACAATGAAGAAGTCTGCATTATCGAGCTCCATATCCAAAGCGTCTCCTGGCCTTAATTTTAGCACTGGTACAAAGGAGCCAAGGGGTCTCGAAGCTCAGAGAAAGAGGCAAGGAGGCGATGGGGAAGAGCTGTGGTATGCGATCTCGTGTGATCGCGGGGCACCCGTCCTGGCGGGCCGCCGCGCTGCCAATGCCGTGCCTAAATCGCTTGGAAGGCAATGGCTTGAGCCAAAGTGGCTACGGACTCCTCCTCCTCCTCCTCAACATCCTCCTCCTCCTCCTCTTCCTCCTTCTACTCGCTCTCACAGGCTCCCCCCACCCCCCTGCCGCCCCCCAGCCAGGCAGGGCCCCCCCTCCGCCGCCGAGTCTGGCGCGCGCGCGGGATGACCGAGCAGCGAGCACATCGCCACCCGGCTCTGGCGGCGGATGTGTTTCTATTCGCCTGGCCCCGTCGTGCAGAAAAGCGCACGCACACGCACACGCGAGCACACTCACGCCCCCAGGCACCCACGCAAGCACACAAGCACAGTCACACGCGTACACACGCACCCGCACACGCACACGCACACACACACACACACACACACACGCACTTACTTGTCGCGCTCGCGTGCCACTGAGAATTCCACCGGAAGGCTCTGAAGCAGTCCCAATTGCATTCCGCATGGAGGAGCACCCACGCATACTTCCCTCGGGCGCTGAGTGGGTGCAACCACTGGATCAACAGCTACAGGGCGCGCAAGCTAATATTGCGACACTGGCACACACACACACTGACACTGCTGGCGTCGCGGCAACACGCGCGGCCTTTCGGCGTATGGGGGAGTCAACATACACACACACACACACACACACACACACACACGCGCGCGCGCACACACGTGCACCCGCACAGGCACACGCACACACACAACTACACATAAACACACGCACGCACACACACACCACACGCACGCACAATTTGAAGCGTCGACGTCGTGCGAGTAACGACGCGGCGAAGTCGGGCAGCAAGCTGAGAAGCGAAAGCGCGTGGCAGGCCCCCACGCATCAACCAGGCGGGTTGAGGGGCGCAACACACATACACACACGCGCAGACACACGAACGCACACGTATAACATAGATTTGCAGATGTATACAGCTGATGGGGGCAATCCGGCAACATTACAGGTCGCAGCGCAACCCAGTGGGCGCGGCGGGCGAACCCCCTGGCATGCCGAGATAAGAGGCTACGTAGAACCGTAGAACAAGGCAAGTAGACAACAATGATTGCCGTACGAGACCACATGTCGGCGATAATGTATGCACATGGTACCGTACCGCGGGTGATGCAACTACGCCATACTATCGCGTACCACACTTTGTCATTTACCAGATTATCACATGAGGTCAAGCAAGGCGTAACACACACGCAGGCTGCATGACCAGATGTGCGTGACCAAATACATTATCGCATGCGACATCGCATTACAGTGAATGACAATGTCTAGATGTGCAGACGATGCCTGCACCCTGCTAATGAACGCGCCCGTGATGCGAGCGCCGCGCCATGCGCGGTGCTTGCGCTGATAAACAAAAAAAAAAAAAAAAAAAAAACATGCCCGCGGTGCCTGGGCTCATGAGCTGGGGCTCAGGCGACACTGGCACCCTGCATCTGTTTTCATAAGGGGAAATGGGGAAACCGCATGGTCATGCGTTTCCACGTTCACTCCTGACATGGTGGACACGTATTTAATCGGTATTGCACGGTGCAACATGTTGATTAAACGTATGTTCGATCATCTCGTCGTGCACCACATGAATTACACACGTATAATGTATGCACACATGTTACTCTAGCGCTGTCATGTATGCATGCGCTTCCATATCAGACCACACTGTCTTACAGCATTGTCACGTGATGGTAAGCAAGACGCTACGCACACGCACGCGGCATGAACATGATTATGTGCGTGGCCCCACAGTGCCCTCGATGCGCGAATTGGAGCGCCCCCAAGTCTCCAGTCCCCTGCTCAGCCCTCTGGAGCCTCACCCCTCAGTCCTGGGAATTCTTTAGGAAGCCCCGACCCCAAATACACAAATTTATTTTGGGACTCCCCGCGTGCCCCCTGGGCCCCGTCGCGGCTTCGCGCGTGAGTTGTTCAGGGCCGCGAGAGTCCCAAAACAGGCCACACGGCCCCAAGAGGCCGCCCAGTCAGTCCAAGAGGGCCCCGAATCGCCGAACGATCAGTCCAAGACGCTCAAGATAGCCTGAAGACGGCCGACGATGGCCCAAAGACGCCCCATTGGCCTCCAAGAGGCCTCCAAGAGGGCCCCAAGAGGCAAAAATCATGTAGTGCCATTCGATGTTTGACGGATTTTGGCATTCGCGCCGTTTCGGCTTCCCGACGCTCAACGACGGCCAAAGAGGCTCTCAATTTGGCCCAAAGACGGCCCAAGAGGCGTCTCAGAGGGCCCAAAAACATCCCAGATGGCCCCATGACAGCCCAAGAGGCTTCCAAGACGGCTCAAGAGGCCTCAAGGCAGCTCCTGGAGGATTGTGATGGGCCCAAGCGGGGGACCCGAACGGACATTTCGAGCCCTCGGTCCCGAGAGGCCCCCAAGAGGCCCCAAGAGGTCCCAGGAGGTCCCCAATAGGCCCCAAGAGGCTTCCAAGAGGCCTCCAGGAAGCCCCAAGAGGCCCCAACGAGGCTCCTAAGAGGCCAGGCGGCACCCAAGAGGCCCCAAAACTGGCCCCAAGAGGTCCCTGGGAACGTTCCGAAGAAACCCTAACAAGCATCCCTGAGGACTCCCACCCGCAACCCAGGCACGGTGGCGGGATGGGCCGAAGGCCATGAGATCCGCCGCCCCCTGCTTGCAGGGGTGCACGGCGTGCTGGACGAGCTGTCAGGTTTTGGTTTTGGTTCTTTTTCTAAAAGAACTCCCCAGTGGGCTTCGGCCCGTCCCGCCGGCCACCCTTCCAGGACCTCAATTCCCCAATTTCCTGCCCAAAAACGGCCGTTTCGCTCGGGACATCCTCAAAAAATCGCGAAGATGGCCCAAGATGGCCTCCAAGTCCGCCCGAGATGGTCCAAGACGGCCTCCAAAACGGCCCAAGAGAGTCCAAGACGGCCCAAGACGGCCCAAGAGGCCCCCCAGAGGCCTCCCAGACGGCCCAAGAGGCCTCCAAGAGGTCCTCCAGGAGAGTCCGAAGAGGCCAAAATCATTGATTTTTCATTGGTTTTTGAAGGATTTTGGCATTTGCGCCTTTTCGGCTCTCCGACGGCTCAAGACGGCCCAAGAAGCCCCCAAGATCGCCCAAGAGGCCCCCAAGAGAGCCCCATGATGGCCCAAGTGGCCTCCAAGATGGCCCCTAGAGGGCCCCAAGAGGGCCCAAGAGGCCTCCAACACGCCCAAGATGGCCTCCCAGACGCCCAAGATGGCCTCCAAGACGGCCCTGGAGCATTCCAAGCGGGCCCCAAGTCGGCCCATAGAGGCCCCCCAAACGGCTTCCGACGGCTTCAGACGTGCCAGGAACCCACCAAGATGGCCGAAGTTGGCTCGAAGCTGGCCCGAGACGGCCCAAAAAGCCCCAAAGATCGCCCAAAGCTTGCCCAAGAGGCCTCCAAGACGGCCAAGATGACCTTCAAGATGCCCACGTGTTCCCCGAAGGCTTTCCAAACCGATTCGGGGAACACGTGGTCCGATAGCTTGGCAGGTCTGGCCTCAACGTTCGGCCACATAGGCGCTTCCAAAAAGGCAGGGGGCGGCGGTGATTCGCCGTAGGCGTCTTCGATCCGCCGCCCCCTGCTTGCAGGGGTGCACGGCGTGCTGGATGATTCAGGTTTTGGTTTTGGTTCTTTTTCTAAAAGAACTCCCCAGTGGGCTTCGGCCCGTCCCGCCGGGGTCCCGGGAGGAAGCCGAAAGGACCTCAGTCCGGAAATCCTCCAACAAACGGCCGTTTCGCTCGGGACATCCTCAAAAAATCGCGAAGATGGCCCAAGATGGCCTCCAAGTCCGCCCGAGATGGTCCAAGACGGCCTCCAAAACGGCCCAAGAGAGTCCAAGACGGCCCAAGACGGCCCAAGAGGCCCCCCAGAGGCCTCCCAGACGGCCCAAGAGGCCTCCAAGAGGTCCTCCAGGAGAGTCCGAAGAGGCCAAAATCATTGATTTTTCCCTTGGTTTTTGAAGGATTTTGGCATTTGCGCCTTTTCGGCTCTCCGACGGCTCGAGACGGCCCAAGAAGCCCCCAAGATCGCCCAAGAGGCCCCCAAGAGAGCCCCATGATGGCCCAAGTGGCCTCCAAGATGGCCCCTAGAGGGCCCCAAGAGGGCCCAAGAGGCCTCCAACACGCCCAAGATGGCCTCCCAGACGCCCAAGATGGCCTCCAAGACGGCCCTGGAGCATTCCAAGCGGGCCCCAAGTCGGCCCATAGAGGCCCCCCAAACGGCTTCCGACGGCTTCAGACGTGCCAGGAACCCACCAAGATGGCCGAAGTTGGCTCGAAGCTGGCCCGAGACGGCCCAAAAAGCCCCAAAGATCGCCCAAAGCTTGCCCAAGAGGCCTCCAAGACGGCCAAGATGACCTTCAAGATGCCCACGTGTTCCCCGAAGGCTTTCCAAACCGATTCGGGGAACACGTGGTCCGATAGCTTGGCAGGTCTGGCCTCAACGTTCGGCCACATAGGCGCTTCCAAAAAGGCAGGGGGCGGCGGTGATTCGCCGTAGGCGTCTTCGATCCGCCGCCCCCTGCTTGCAGGGGTGCACGGCGTGCTGGATGATTCAGGTTTTGGTTTTGGTTCTTTTTCTAAAAGAACTCCCCAGTGGGCTTCGGCCCGTCCCGCCGGCCACCCGCGAATTGCCCAAAACCCATCTCTCAATGCCCAAAAACGGCCGTTTCGCTCGGGACATCCTCAAAAAATCGCGAAGATGGCCCAAGATGGCCTCCAAGTCCGCCCGAGATGGTCCAAGACGGCCTCCAAAACGGCCCAAGAGAGTCCAAGACGGCCCAAGACGGCCCAAGAGGCCCCCCAGAGGCCTCCCAGACGGCCCAAGAGGCCTCCAAGAGGTCCTCCAGGAGAGTCCGAAGAGGCCAAAATCATTGATTTTCCCTTGGTTTTTGAAGGATTTTGGCATTTGCGCCTTTTCGGCTCTCCGACGGCTCAAGACGGCCCAAGAAGCCCCCAAGATCGCCCAAGAGGCCCCCAAGAGAGCCCCATGATGGCCCAAGTGGCCTCCAAGATGGCCCCTAGAGGGCCCCAAGAGGGCCCAAGAGGCCTCCAACACGCCCAAGATGGCCTCCCAGACGCCCAAGATGGCCTCCAAGACGGCCCTGGAGCATTCCAAGCGGGCCCCAAGTCGGCCCATAGAGGCCCCCCAAACGGCTTCCGACGGCTTCAGACGTGCCAGGAACCCACCAAGATGGCCGAAGTTGGCTCGAAGGTGGCCCGAGACGGCCCAAAAAGCCCCAAAGATCGCCCAAAGCTTGCCCAAGAGGCCTCCAAGACGGCCAAGATGACCCTGCTTGCAGGGGTGCACGGCGTGCTGGATGATTCAGGTTTTGGTTTTGGTTCTTTTTCTAAAAGAACTCCCCAGTGGGCTTCGGCCCGTCCCGCCGGCCACCCGCGAATTGCCCAAAACCCATCTCTCAATGCCCAAAAACGGCCGTTTCGCTCGGGACATCCTCAAAAAATCGCGAAGATGGCCCAAGATGGCCTCCAAGTCCGCCCGAGATGGTCCAAGACGGCCTCCAAAACGGCCCAAGAGAGTCCAAGACGGCCCAAGACGGCCCAAGAGGCCCCCCAGAGGCCTCCCAGACGGCCCAAGAGGCCTCCAAGAGGTCCTCCAGGAGAGTCCGAAGAGGCCAAAATCATTGATTTTCCCTTGGTTTTTGAAGGATTTTGGCATTTGCGCCTTTTCGGCTCTCCGACGGCTCAAGACGGCCCAAGAAGCCCCCAAGATCGCCCAAGAGGCCCCCAAGAGAGCCCCATGATGGCCCAAGTGGCCTCCAAGATGGCCCCTAGAGGGCCCCAAGAGGGCCCAAGAGGCCTCCAACACGCCCAAGATGGCCTCCCAGACGCCCAAGATGGCCTCCAAGACGGCCCTGGAGCATTCCAAGCGGGCCCCAAGTCGGCCCATAGAGGCCCCCCAAACGGCTTCCGACGGCTTCAGACGTGCCAGGAACCCACCAAGATGGCCGAAGTTGGCTCGAAGCTGGCCCGAGACGGCCCAAAAAGCCCCAAAGATCGCCCAAAGCTTGCCCAAGAGGCCTCCAAGACGGCCAAGATGACCTTCAAGATGCCCACGTGTTCCCCGAAGGCTTTCCAAACCGATTCGGGGAACACGTGGCCCGATAGCTTGGCAGGTCTGGCCTCAACGTTCGGCCACATAGGCGCTTCCAAAAAGGCAGGGGGCGGCGGTGATTCGCCGTAGGCGTCTTCGTAATACATGAGCACATGCTATCTCGCAGTACCGCAGGTTCTGTTAGCATGCTATATGACACAATGTCCGTTTTGTATCACCTCGTTGTACCGCATGGCATTTTGGCATCACTTTATCCACACGGGCGAAGATGTTCCAGCGCGGTACTGAGGAGCGCGCTGATCCACCGGGCACAACCCGCGCGGCGCTCCCCCGTCCCAAACAATGCCCACGCCCCAACGCCCCCTCCCGCGATGGGACGCTCAACCCCATTTGGGGCGTCTGGGGCAAGGCCGTCACACCTGGACCCGGAAATCTGACCGCCCCTTTCGGCTCAGCAGCTCAACATCCCGAGGCTCGAGGAATCGAGCGGAGGTGAGGGGGGGCTGGACCAGAGGCTGGAGGCGAAAGGCGCAAGACACACGGGGCTGAAACACGCGCACACACACACACGCAAACACACACACACACACACACACACACAAAAACACACACACACACGCACAAATACGCGTAGACGCACACACATACACCACACACACATCACACACGCACGCACGCAAAACCTCACTCACATTCCACACTCACCCTCCATACGCACGCGCGGGCTCGCACACGCGGGCGCAAACGCACACGCAAACAGACACGCACAGACGGCAAGACACGCACACACTATCAGCATGGGAAAGGGCCCAACCCTTTGAAGCTGCGTCTGGCGCATGGCGTGGCCATCTCCTCAGATACTGCGCGCAGCGGGAAGTACAACATTTAGGGAAGCGCGGATCGTGGGCTGCGGCACAGGCGCGCTGACGCGCACTGAGCTCGCGATGGGGGCACGAAGCGTGTGAGGGGTGTGCCTGCACGGGCGCGGGGTGGTATGCGCAACACCCCAATTGGGGCCACAAGTGGAGCTCCCGATGGGGGCATGGAGCGTATGGGTGTGTGTGTGTGTGCTGCGATCGGCGTGGTGCGACGTACGTAACACCCCCATTGGTGCCGTGCGAGGAACTCCCTGTGGGGGCACGCAACAAGTGGCGGATGTACCGACGTGGGCACTGCGCGGAGTGCGCAACAGTCCCCCGGGGCCGTGTGTTGCGCTCCATCAGAGGGCACGAAGCGTGGGAGGGATATGCCGACATGGGCGGGGGGCGGCATGCGTAACACCCCCACTGGGGCCGTCGGTGGAGCTCCCTTGGAGGTCACGAAGCGTGTCATGGGGTGCGCCAACATGGACACGCGGACAGAGAGCGGAGGCAGGGAGATGAAGAGGGGGAGGAGGCGGGGAAGAAGGTGGAGGGCTGCGAAGAGCACTGACAAACGCACAAGCTGAATCACACGAGCCCTCCGAAGAACGTTCAAGACCCAGCGTCGGGGCTCAGTCTTTCAGCTGGGACGCGCGACAGCTCCGCTCGGGGCCCGCACTGAAGCGAAGCACCTCGATCGCCACCCGCTGCGATTCTACACCGCATCCACTGACGGCCCGTGCACCCGCATAGGCGCAAGCGCACGCGCGCCGCTCGCACTCGCGCACGCGCTCACGCATACTCAGCACACCTGGCTTCCACACAGAATGCATCACACACCGCACGCCCGCACACGCACGCACGCAATAAGAGAAAGGCCACAAGCTCCTGCGAGGACCTGACACGACAATGACCCTACAACCCTCCCAACCACAATTCGGTCGCATCGTCCTCCAACTCACACTTCCCCTCTTGAACTACCTCCGCCAACATTGCAACGAACCCGCTCACGCGTCAACTTCCCACCACGGCCGAACGGCCAACAAGCAGCAGCTGGAAAGGACACTTTCTGCCTTCGCGTGATAAAGAATATGGCGGGCGATGGCTCCCCAAAGGACGCTTTCCGAAACCAATGACTCCGTCAGACCTGCAGGGTGCATGATGGAGCGGTCGCATCCTGGCAGCACAACCCTGCCTTTTCAGTGACTTCGTCCTGGAAGACAAGACGCCACCACGTCCCCCACTTGCACACCGGTGGCTCTGCGCGGACGCCTATGCACATGCTGCACCTCCCTCTGGATCGCCCCGCCGGCTTCCGAGACGCATGGTCAGAGCACACACCTTCACCAGCAAGTCTGGAACACCATCAGCCCACGACTTCCGCAGAACCAAGCTGTGCTGGTATCGGAGGACCCTCGAAAAGATCTTTGGTTGCGGCATCCGTGCAGGCACCCATCGCGAACAAGCTTGCATGGCATCAAGACTGCCCATACCACGCTGCTCCAACAAACTGTGATTCTGGGAGGCATTCATAAGCGATGCTGTATTTGCCACTTCTTGGAAAAGCTTCGAGCCTCCGAAGCCAATCCACTGTTGCGGATGTCTCAAAGCCAACTGCTGGTCGCCGGAACAATAGCTCCACCTGGAAAATCATCATGCCCAGGTCTCGACCATGAGATCGACGTCTCCGTTCGTCAAGCATTCCCATTCTCCGCTTCCCACCTGCCACCCATCATGCTCCTTCTCCTCCTCCTGCGCCCTCATCCTCCCGCCTCTCCTGTGCTGGTCTCGCTTCTGGGCTGGGCAAGGGCGAGCGTCCTGGCCAAAAACCCGGATCAGCCAGCTGGCAATCTGGCGCAGGATGCCGCAGTGGGTCATCAGCCCCACGGCCAGGAGCATGCCTGCGGCAGGAAGGGGGGGGAGCAGAGGGATAAGAAGGGGGAGGGAGGCGTGCAATGAGCAGGAGGAGGAGGATGCAGTGAGACGGGAGAGGGCGCAGGAAGACGATGAGCAGAAGGAGCAGGATTGATCTGATAAGGCGAGGCTGGGGGTGATATGCTTGAGAAACTGGAGACCTGGAGGCCGGCCCACGTATAGAATACGTGCCAGAAACAGGAAGGATCTCGGGCATCGGACATCGAGGCTGGACAAGCGGACGTTACAAGAAGGCAGGGAACGTATCCAGGCGAAGGGCCCCACCATGGATAATTGAAGATACCGCAGTTGTGAGCACCACCCGCCATGTCACGTGTGATGGATGTGCCGAAATCTGGCGGGGCCGCCATGCGACCGCAGCCACTGGGGCCTTTAATGGAACTCCATATGGGGCCTCGAACCTTGTCGTGGGCGTGCCAAATGGAGGGGCACCGCAATGCCACCACAGCCACAAGAGCCTCCGGTGGAGCTACCTATACGGCCTCGACACGGTTGAAAGGTGTGCCGAAATGGGACGGGGCTGCCATGCGACCGCTATCACTGGGGCCTTCGGTGGAGCTCCCAATGGGGCCACGAAACGTGTGAAAGGCGTGCCGACATGACCAGTCGGGGCGCATGCGACCTCTGCTACAGAGGCCTTCAGCTCCCCGTGGGGCCACAAAACGAATGAGGCGCGTGACGACATGACCAGTCGGGGCGCATGCGAATACTATCACTGGGGTCGTCGATGGAGTTCCCCGTGAGGCCACGAAGCGTGCGAGTGGTGTGCTGGAATGGACTGGGGGACGCCATGAGAGCTTCTCCGCTGGGGCCGCAGGCGGTGAGGCGTGTGCCGAAATGACCCGTGGGCGCATGCGAGTTCCTTCACTGCGGCCATGGGTAGAGCTTCCTGTGGGGGCACGGTCATCGTAAGAGGTGTGCTGGACTGGGCGGAGGGGCGCCGTGCGAGCTCTGTCACCGGGGCCCTCGGTGGAGCTCCCTGCGGGGGCACGACCCTCTTGAGGGGTGTGCCGAAGTCGGCGGGGGGGGGCGCCAGGCGAGTTCCTCCACTGGGGCCACCTGTGGAGCTCCCTATGGGCCCCCGCAGCGCGCGATGGGTGCGAGAAGCAACGAGGGGAGCAGGACACGGGAGGAGGCCGGCACAGCAGAGCGGGCCCGGCGAAGGACACAGAGGGAGCGGGAAAGCGGGAGGCCAAGGAGCCGAGGGAGGAGAGAAGAGGGGGGGAGGAGAGAGGGCGACAGGAAAAGGCAGACCGGGCAGGCGAAAGGGGGGAGGCGAGAGGAGATGGTGCGGGGCGCTGCGGACACAA